CATCTATTTGTTATTTGTCATCAAAAAAGCGTCATGGTTTCGATTAATACGTTTTCAGAATTCTGCAATCTGTCTCAGAATTAACTCCAAATTGTTCGAATCCCCTAACGACGTACTATTCACCTATCTTACTAATAAGTTTTTAAGACTCGATCTTCTACTTTGTTTACACCTGTTGTTTGTTTGGTATTAATCCAAATGATCTTCTAGTTTCCATTACTAATCGAATTCCATCGATCGGTGAATTCACTCTTATTATTCAACTAATTGCGTGCAATATTTAGATTCATGTTTAGTTTTATACATCCTAGATCCATATATTGCTGCTGTGTATAGTTCTAATCACCAAAACAAATGGAAGTCATGATATGAAGTAGCATCGTTCTTCTGTTCCATATTGTCTGTCACTTAGCCATTTACTCAATCCTCGGTTGAAAATTTTTAATTTCTGGTGCTTGGTCGAGTATCCAGTCGTAACAACGGTAGCAGTTAAACAACAGGCAGTGTTGCTTCCCCTGTTTTCTTTATCCCTTGTTCACCATTAATGAGCTGAACGCCAAGCGCGTGCATAATGGACGGCTATTGTTAAAACCACTTATATCCGGCTAGTTGAAAAGATTGATTGATCCACTAATGTATTTTACAGTTAGTTACGTCATCCTGTAATATATATGTCGTAGACCTTTCGATTTTTTATTCTTGACATTGTAATACAGATCATATATACTCTTTAAATTGTTGAAGTGCGAAATGATATAAATTTACATTTGTTTCCCTCTGGTGTTTTGAATATGTCAGACCATAAATACTCTAAATAGCTAACAAAGTACATTGAGTTTGACTTCAAATATTTTATGTCGATATATGTCTGAAAATCGTTGTGATACATAATTAGCTGTGTAAAGTTTTGTGCTCCTTTAATACACTAAAATTCTATACTATCTGATCACTAATGTTGTAACAGTACAAAATAACAATGTTGTGTAATTAAACATATCAGTTTCCTTAATAATAAATTTATTACAAATCATGATTAAAATTAAAATTACCCATTGATTTTTTGATCTTCACTCGGATTTCATAATGGTTAAAACTACCTAGTTCCATGATATTTACGTTGTTCATTAAGTATCCTTGGGATCTGTCATCTGATATAAAAATGAACGTAACTATTTTTCTATAGATAAAATTCATCACCTTTTTTATGTTATCTACCATAAGCCAAATCCTTTGTATCAGATTTCATTAAACTACTTACGTTCCTCAACGAAAATCACTTCGTTCAATGTAACCCTAAACGAATTAAAAGAGTAGAGTTCAACCATCCTTCTCACATATAAAACACAATGTAAGCACTTCAAAATCCAGATGAATTGTAATTAAATGATAATCCAATAAAGGATCACTTCTTAAAAGAAAGTATTATACTGTATACAACTATAGTACCTACGATCTATCAGTTTTCACCAACACACTTTAATAATAAGAGTAGAATTAAAATATATATCATTTTCCCAATAACAATTCTCTATTAGTCTGTTATTATTATTAACCGCGTAAGTTTCAGCGTATTGTTACATACTCTTCTGAAGCTTTATTACTTGCAGCATTTTAGTCAGTAACAACAGAGAATAACTAGAACATCATTAAACAAAAATGCAATTTTAACAGTTCCATTTTCCTTTAGTCTATGTACGAAATGTAAAAATTTCCTTTTATTATTCTATCTACATTATTTTAAATTCTATCTAAATATCTAAAAATTAATTCTTAGATTCTTGAATGGCCTGAATGTTCAGTTCAAGGTAATCGTGATGAAGATCAACAATTAAAAGAAAGTATTACATCAGGTTTTCGTAATCCTGTTGTTAATTCAGTTGAAATGAGCTCAGATGGTTATTATCTAGCAGCTGTAACTGATAACAATCTTGTATGTATATGGCGTTATGCTCCACCGCAACAACAACAATACTCTCAAATAATTCAACAAACCACAACACCATCATTACATCAAACTACTACTATGCAACATAATAATAATAATCAATTAACAGCTATCAATAATTCTATGGTTACTGTTCCCAATGTTGCTAGCATAGTGGACGATGATACATCATCGTCAACGATAGCATGCATGGAGCTTTTAAACAATACTAATAATTCATCAATTGCTTTAAAATCTAGTGCCATAGAACTTGTTTCTACCGGTCAACATTTGTTAGAATAAATATCATTATCATTATGATGACGTTATACTATTTGTTTTGTATTTTTGTTATTATTGTATCATGATTTATGTAGATGTTCTCTTCCTACTCTTATGTATATATATATATATATATATATATATATATAATTTTGTATAGAACTCAGTTATTGACTTCTGGGCGCCGGAAATATCTGTTACAAATACAAGGCGTTTTTGGTTTTCCATTTTTACTCATTCAATTATCACCCTTTCTCTCGCTCCTGTCTTCATATTTTTACCTTTATCCATCACGTCGTACGTGTTCACATCCATACTTACTTCTAAGAATCGTGCTTCATTTATTGTTCTATTCATGTGCTTACATGTTTCAAATATTTGTAAACATCAAGTTAGTTACGTTGTTATCAGCAAGATAAAGGTGGGATCATTGTCTCCTTCAGTCTCCCCTTCACTCTAATGTTTTGTTATTTTTGTACCTACTTTCTGGTTTGTATAATCCATAGTGTTCTGTCTGCTTAAAGTATCTCTTTTTGATATTCTCACTTTAATTTACATCTAAATAGTATCGATAAAGTATCATTTATTATCATTATTATTACCATATAAAAGTAACATTATCATTATGAATACAAATTACAATGTTCAATAATTCATTTGAAAACAAATGTTTCCAACTTGTTTCTTCTCATCTATAATGTGTGTATACTATATTTTCGTCCTACTATTTATACATATGCATTTTAAGAACGCATAATTAATGTAACTGTTGTCATCAAATAGAACTGTTCTTTTTTTAAATATTCTGTTAAAGAGATCGTTTGAGAAGCTTGTCTGCTAATTACTAGTATATTTATTCTCATAATTTAAATGAGTTTAAAAACAGAATAGAGGGCTTAGTGATCGGTTCTTAAACCTACGTCCTTTTTAATTGATTCAGAAGCTCTTACGTAAAGGCATCCAAATGCCCTGGTACGGCCGAGAGTAGGGAGTCCGCTCTCACATGGTCATTCGTATATAGCCTCTGCCAGGAAAGTCCTACTCACTGCCTTCTCGTGGCATTACCGTTGTTTACGAAATTGAGAGGACGAAAAACGAATGTCCGGCGCTTTAACCGGGTTGGTGGACACGGAAAGTTCACCTAGTGGAGTTGGAAAACCCAGATTCCAAACCAGTGGTGCACATGGGCTCCAGTATCCTGAAGGAGCAAATGGCGTATGAATCAATCGTTGGTCACCGGCTACCATGGAACTGTATCTCCTCACGATGCTCCACTGCCCTGTGGATCAGACCTTTAGGTCAAAGGCTCCGGGTGTGGGCCCCTAAGAAAACCACCTGCTTCGGTTTGAGCACCTGGGCAGTACCACAGCTCTCACACAAATGAAATGAGATTTGTGTGGCGCATATATATGTGGTGCCCCTTTGTACTAATATTTATGTGTTTAAATAAAATATTACGTAAAGTCATTTCCATGAAAGTATATTCATTTTTGCTTATCTTACCATGTGTAAGAGCAAAATTGTATTAATTAAAAAAATTGCAGTACAATGGGACAGAGTCATATTACCGTGTTTGTTGACATTCAGTGTTAACCAGGTACTTACTGTAGTTCTTTCAACCTACACCTATGAGAAATATTTATGGGCTAAGTTAGTTAGGAACATTTGCTTTCAACAGTCGTTTTCTTATATGTAATCGGTCTGAAGTAAATATTCTTGTATATATGAAAGTCTCACTCAAGCAGATCATTATATTTTTATTATGGATATAATTCAAAATTATTTAGGATCACTAGCCAGTACATTTTTAAGAACTAATTGACTCACTCTGGGAGTGTTCAAATATGAATTTTCCAGTTCCCATCAACTTTAAGGCATAGGGATAATATCAATTTATAATGTAGAAAATGCAATCTCCATCTGGTCTTTAGTTTGTACATTTGTTAATTGGTTTGTTAAAAACCTAAATGGTCTATATCCCTAAATATCTGTTTCAGAAACCTAATCTTATCAAAATTTCTTGTCCAGTTATACATGTTGATATGTTTGTAACCGACAATTTCACAGCTCCTAAAGGATTGAATGGAGCACAAGACCACGCAGTCAGCACTGCTAGAGTCCCGACCACTAGACCTGATCATGAATTTTAGTTGTCTTTTTCTTTTTTGAATAATCATCTGGTGTAAACGACTATCTACTTTGAATACATATAGAAATATGTTCCATTATTTAATTGGATATATGGATCCTAATGAGTATATCTGTAGATAATACGAGCAATCACCATCGGTAGTGTTCTAGATCAAAATACTTTTTTAGTCCCCGATTTTACACTTGTCTAATGATAAATTAAGACCTATTGATAAAAGAAATTCAGACTCAAATAACCAAATTAAAGAAGCAATTTATTTAAAAGCAAGCAAATTTGCTTAATGATCACTATAATTTGGATGACTAGATGAAAAGAATTCGAAAATTCATCTCCATAATATTCTTCAACTATTTAGAGACTATGCACACTAGTAAAACATGCGCTTATTGAAGAATCCTCAATCCAGCCACAAACTAGTTGGGATAGTTCTTCAGATTTGAATGAAGTTAACATTACTGGTATCTAATATATCTAATAGTGTTTCCAGATTCTCCATGGTGATCTAGCTTCAATTGACTCATGCTTTCTACTATGAAAAATACTAAGTCTCCACAAAACCCCTTCTGATATCTAGTATATCATTGATTATATAAAAATTAAGCTACAAATTGATTCATCAAATAGTTTCGGGCTATTAAAAAGATTTGTAACTTAAAGTGATAATGGTAATTGTGTGATGATTTCCAAACTTTTAACTATAGAGTTATATTATTAAGCGAGATGAAATATCCATGGCTAAACATCAGACCCCATAGAACACTGCATAACTGCTGCTACGTGATGTATTGTTCATCAACATGATTTAGGGTGATTCCTACCGGTAACATATTCATAACTTTGTCGAAAAGCAAAGAAAAATCAGACCGATTGAAGCTTAATTCACTTATAAATTTAATAGAACCATTGGTTCATGTATTTTAATATATCAACACTTGTTTAGTTGTTTTTTCCCAATGGGAATTGATTGGAGAGTTTTATTTATCACCCAACGTTAGTGCTGAAGACTGGTCAACATTACCATCCATCGATTCCTGGATTTCACTTATAATTTTTTTAAGTCAAACAATTTAACCCAATTCTAAATAACAGAAGTTCACCATTCACAACATGTTGTGTATAATTTCAGCTAATTGACATCATCATGGGGTGTTTTAAACTTTATATTTGGTACTTGACAAAAATAAAACGTACTTTCATCGCATGGCATTGAAGTAGACTACATAGCATATCAGGAACAGTTAGATTCATATTAAATATTAGTTCAAACAAAGAATACGTTAAATACTCGTCATATGTCCCGCTTCTACTTATTGGTTCCATGTAATTTTGTCTGTACTCTCTTCAATGTCGATCAAGCAACTTGGTTTATTTCATATTCCTTCTTTTATCCTCTTTCTATTTATATTTTTAAGCACAAATAATGACAGAAAAGTCAGACGATAATGTTCAGTTATCAGTTGATTTGGATGAAAATGAAGTGACTGGTAAAAATACCATATATTTAGCACATGATTTAACACAAGAAGAAAAACGTACTGCTGATGTTTTAGGAGAGAACGTATCAAATGAAACTTGTGCTAAAAGTCGTAATATACATTTCAAAGACTTACAATTATCTACACCAGTATTACATGGACTATACGATGCTGGATTTATTCGACCATCACCTGTACAAGTTAAAGCTATTCCTTTAGGTCGATTAGGTATGGATTTAATTGTTCAGGTACGAAACTTTATGTTTATTTATATGTAGACTTTTTAAGCCAAGTTGAAATATTATAATTTTCAGGGTCAATAAAATTCGAATTGTAAAGAATATTGGTTGATTGTAATGATATTTACTGATTACGATATATAGATATATATCATTAACTTTAATATAATGGTTCAAAAATTATCAAAGGCTAGGAATGGCTACTTCTAAAACATTTTATATTAGGATTGAACAATAATTCAGTATACTTCCTGTCGTTCTCACCTGTTCGTTAAATAATGCAGCATTGTTAGTGAAGCAATGGCTCAGTGTTTAAGGCGTCCGACTTTCGGTTACTAACCTCCATCTGAGCGATCACGTGGTATCAATACCTGTCACACATAAAGTGTAGCTCGAAGCTAAGTATACTAATATGTAACTGGTAAGTAAATATCATTTGATTTGACAATTGATTGTGTGAACTATTAACTCATATTATACGAAAATTAACAATAATCCCACAGAGAGTTTCAGTTTCATCGAGACTACAGATACTTTAATACTGACAAGCGCCAACTAGCATGAAACCTAGATCTAGGCCTTTCTGCTGACTGACTTCAATAACATCAAACTATAGTTCATTTGATGTTGGATCATTTAGACTTTCGGTCACATTAGAATCCAGTTTCTAAGATTCGACCAGCACCAAAGACTGTTAGGCACCTTCCTGTAGTAAGTATAGCGAAAAAACAACCTCTGATGACATTCAAAGTCAACCATGCGATCTGTGTAAACAAAACTCTTGTCTAGTGGGTAACGTCTGAATCATCTAGTTGATAGAATATCTTTTGTTAGTTGGAATATCCTTTCTGTAATTTGTGTAATCTATTTATCCTCATCTTGCCAACAATTTCAGCATACTTTCTCAAAATCCCGCCCTTTTTCTAAGTAACTTGGTTTTCAGAAATGACCCTTGAACTCAGCTGGGGTACGATCAAAAATTAGGGGTCACTGGAAAGCACTCACCGTAAAACACGGAGATCCTAAGTTTAACCCCTGATTTTTTCATAGGTTCATATTGCTCAGGAATCTTACACTAGGACGAAACAGCTATCCAGTGTCAACTGACTCTCAATGGTACTTCAAATGAAGTCGATCTGTGTAAAATATCACCTAAAAATCCACTTTTTTTCATTTCTTCACGTATGAGATTTATCTAAAGTAAGGTGAAACTGTGCTTTACAAACCGCCTAAATGTTTATTATTCTTATAATTCCCTTCATCTCTCTGTATTTCCTGTTTTTCAAACATATCGGAAAAAAGGCTAAATCTGGTACCGGTAAAACGGTTGTCTTTGCTGTAGTTATTTTGGAAGCAATCAATGTAAAACGACCTACTATACAAGCAATTGTTTTGTCACCAACTCGCGAAATTGCATTTCAATCACAAATGGTTATTGAACGATTAGCCAGTCATATATCTGGTTTAAAATGTCATCTATTTGTCGGTGGTAAGTTGAATCATGGTAATACTCAATATGTATAAATTAAAAATCTTTCACTAGAACAAAAGCGTTATTTTATTGAAGGAACAAGAAAAACATGCGATGAAGTACAACGTTGCCTAGTGACTTACAAGTGTTTAGTCTTTTTAAGACAAATCGAAAAATCAATTAAGTCATAAAGAAGTTTCTAAAGCATATCATCAAATTTGTCTAAATCACAACCATTTATTTTTGATATCAATCTAGAAAATCTACAAGCTTTTACAAAGCTAAGTACAAACATTATAAGACTTCATTCTGTATTATTGTATTGTAATACGATATTTCAGTATTCTTCATGTGTTCTTTTTGTTTAGCTAACATCACTCTTTTGGAAAGTAGACAACTAGGTGTTATGTTGTTTCACAAACATCTCAGTTACTGTTTTGTTCACAAAATTATTTACTTTACTTCGAAACTAATAAAAGTAACCCCTTCTATTTTCTATTGGATAGTTTCAATTAAAGTTATAAACAATCAATTATCAACAGCATTTGTCTTGAATTCATGTGGGGTATCTCATTTCATTGAATTAAAATATAAATAGAAGCATCCATGAACACTCAACGTTTTTACAGATTAATGATTATCATGTCTATTTAACATAACATACAAGTTATTGGATAGGGTTCTGGCATCACTTGCTAATACCCCATATAAACTACGAAAGTACGTTTAAGTCAGAGATTTATTGTAAGCAGTAACATATTCTGGATACCGCTATTAAGTTTTAAGACTTAGACTATGACAATAAAATAGTACTATTACATCCATTAAATAGATTTATAGTAAAAATCCCCTCATCATAATTACCAAAAAATGACTGCCAACAAAACTATCCTGGAAAGTTTCCAGTTGACACTCCTGAGAACTCAAATCTAATCCTTCTGTTATTTTGATCATCAGTTAATATTTTAGTATAGAAAGTTTATTATTAAGTGTCCGATTAACCATTCCAAATATAAATTTAAATCCTTCCAATTCACCTGTATCTATATGTGCTGACTGAAATAAAACATCACTAGTAAGTGTTATCATATTCACCTGAATTAAGTCAGAAGGTTGTCTTCCGTTCTTGAATCATACATTCATCATAAATCTGGTTCTACTTCATTAAAATTCGAGTTACACCAGTCTACGTTGAACCATAGACACAAGAAAAACCGTTTAGCTTCGTACAGCTGAACACCAACCAATGAAAACGAATCTAGCAACTTAACTAATAAATAAAATGTAAAGAAGGGGATTGTGCAGTAAATCAATAATTATATTATACAAATTACACATATGATTGGTATAATTTCTTGATTTTATTCTTAACACTCTTACTCATTTTAACAATTTGGTATTTCGTCTGATTGCCAACTACCTCAGTTTAGTCAATGCCTATCATATGTTTTTTTTAAATTTCAAATTAAACAGTTCTTCGAAATTTCTAATAATTCATAGAGGATAACTTTCTATTCTTTCATTGCTTACACTTTCTTTTTCTTTTTGTTTAGGCTTACCCTTAGCTGATGATTTACGTCATTTATCCGACTGTCATATTGTTGTCGGTACACCAGGACGCGTTCGATATTTATTAGAAGCCGGTTATCTATCTACTGAACATGTAAAGCAATTTGTATTAGATGAAGCTGATCTACTTTTATCTGGTGGTACAGATGCTAAATTAACTGGTGGTAGTGCAAATAATGCATTTCCAGCTGATATTAATTACATTTGGTGGAGTTTACCACAATCTAAACAAGTATTAGCTTTGTCAGCTACCTATACGGATTATTTAGTCAATGAACATCTTCCACGTTATATGAATGATCCAGCAATTGTACGATTAGCTGTCAAAGACCCAGCTTTAATAGGTTTGTTATTAATTTCAATACAAAAATGGTAACATGCTTTTAATTTCTGAAATGTACTATAAATGGTACAGTTAGAGTAGAATAATGAGATAATTTATTTGGGTTATAAATATGAAATCAAGAAAATAATTGTTGACTACTTTTGCGATTTTCAAAGGTAATAGACCAAAACATTGACTAGATGCATTTTGTATATTTATTCTTTAAAAAAGAATATGTTTTTTCTGATATTCAATTGAATATCAATCAACGGTATAATTGATCATATTTACATACATACATCGGTCCAAGTTGCCATACCTCATTAGCACAACAAGATGAACACCAAATTCATAGAAGTATTTAATTTAGTGGTGTTAATATATAAAAGAAAAATTGTACATAAGAATATAGTACAGGAAAAAGAGAGATATGAAGCAATTTTAATCACATGGTTTAAGAGAACACAAAGAGTGTATACAACTATGACATTGTGATCAATTCTGAGCCATGTCACCTAGAGTCTCCAACCATTGGTTACGATAGTCACGCGGACCCCAACCAAGTAGTCTGCATCTACCAACATGGCTCAGATCAGAATTTAGTGATTTCAAGCACTGATGCCACGTTTGGGTTCGGCCGCCCCTAACTCTCTTCAAACCATCCCCAATACTAGTCAGCATTGCTCGTCGTGATAATCGGTGTTCAGGCATACGTAACATGTGGCCCAACCATCTCAGTTGATGAAGACTCACAACCTCACCAACTGATATACCGTCATTCCCTAATACCCTGAGTCTAACCTCACTATTACTTACCCGGTGATCCCACTAGATGCGAGCAATATTTCTAAGACATCTGTGGTCAAATATTAGTAACTTACAAGTATCTTCTACTCTTAATGGCCATGTTTTACAGACGTAAAGTAGGACAGAGCGAACTGCTGCGCAGTATACTCGTCCCTTAATTGATAGATGGTTATCTCGCCTTCGCCATAGGTGAAGTAAGTTGGCAAAAGCCAAACGAGCTTTTTGAATCCGTGCTGAGATTTCGTCAGACACCAACCCATTAGGGCTGACCAGACTTCCAAGATAAGTGAAGTTGTCGACGCGTTCGACTACTCACTTACTCCGTATTCTTAGTTCGGGTGTTGACGCAGGCCAGTGCTGAAGCAACAATCTGCATTTAGATGTGTAGAAACGCATCCCAAATATCCTGGCATTGTTGCTCAGTGCTGACAAAAGACTTTGTATTTTATCAGTGTCTTCACCAAACAGGACAATGTCATCTGCGTATCCTAAGTTGAGAAGTGGACCTCCTGGTAGAAGATCAATTCCTGAGAATTCAGTCGACGAGAGTGTTATTTCCAGCAGTAGGCCTATAATGAAGTAGTGTTACTGCCTTATCTGATCTTGAAAGTTTGTGTGCTTACACCATTTTCTTGATTTAGTCAAACAGTCATTGTAAACCAAATTTCTCTGATTAGCTGTTTCATAGCAGTATGTGAACTTCTTCACTAGTGTTCACCCAGATCGTTAGGCTTGGCAATGCGGTCTGAATTTTACACAGTTGTTCCAAAGCCCATACATACCATGATGACAATTTTTTTAGTGGTTTCTGCTTCATCATTATCGTCCAAATACAGTCGTTCTGTGATGTAAAACTACAAATTCAACAATTTTTACAGTCCCCTGTAATCACAAACGTGAAATTATCACTAGACTGAGTCTCAGTTCATTTCTTACTTCTCGACACAAAGTTACCGTGTTTATCGGGAATCTGTTTCTATATAAGTAAACACTTACTAATACATTGTTTAAATTACTGAGACAACAGGACATTATTTCGAATATCAAGGTGACCTCACTATGAGAACGATATTAAAAATTATCGATCAAAACGCTGTTGCTGTCGTGTGCTCATATATGTATTATTTTCTACAATGTCATACATCGTACTAGATCAGTGGTCTAGAATGTAAGAGTTCACACGAAATCGAAGATATTGGGTCCGACTCCCGATTACGGGATCGTGAACTGGCACTCTCAAAGAGTTCAACACTATAGCGAAACAACCGTTAAGTGTTCCCAGATTTTCAATCGTTATCTAAATTAGATTGGTTCATGATTTCAATAAAATTACTATATAATTAAGTCATCATCCTTTTTTCAAATAAAATCATTATATTATAATTCCTTGAAAAAGCTTGAACCAAATTGCCAGGCGAAATGTTGGATTTACTTCAAATTCATTCGCTGAGATTTTATAAATATATTATTCCTATTTTTAATGTCTTACATCAACTCGGCACCCAAATACTTTGGAACTATTTGCTCTAATTTAGACGAAAGTTCTTATACATTATTATTAATAATTATTTTTTGTTGTATAGGTGTACGACAATTTTTCCATATTATTCAACCAACAACACTTGCTCCAATTTCAATATTTGATGCTAAAATAAAATTTCTATGCAAATTACTTAATGCTACTGAATTTCAACAATGTTTAATTTTTTCAAATTTTCACAACAAGTAAGAATTTGATTTTATTTAAAGACATTATTTCAATGTTATTTTTCTAGGAGAATTCTTTCAGTCAAAGAAGTTACGTTCACTTTTATGAAGAACGTAAAAGAGGGTTACAGAAGGATCATGACTGACTTCTATTTTGAGTCATGTCTGATAGCGACTCTAGACATTGTGTTGTACCATCTCTAGAACCCCAATCAAGGGGTCGTGAAAGACCAACAAAAGCTAGTCCTGTACAACTTTCGTACATACCACGACACCATATCATACATTGACCACCCCTCCGCTTTTTCCAAACGATTCCAGCATCCACGAGTAATGCACGACGTGGGCTTCGCTGACACGGCATTTGTAAGGCGTGTCCAAGCCACCGAAGTATATGTTTCACGATAGTGACACAAATTGAATTAACGTTACTGTGCCCTGACAAACGATTCCGAACCTCTACATTACCAGAATGGTGTTGCCACTGGATGTCAGCAATCCTTCAGAGACAACGATGATCAAATACAGAGAGTCATCTAACATACTCAATTCAGAGCGGTCACGTTTCACAATCACAGAGCAAAACTGCTCTCACCGACGCGTTGTAGATCCGATCTTTCACAGCCAGACTAACATCACGAAGGCACCAAGGATGACCCAGATTAGCATAAACCTCTCTGGCTTTCACTATAAGTGAATTGATTTCACCACCCACGCTACCACCAGCACTTATTCAGCTACCCAGATACACGAACTTCTTGATTACTTCTATCTGCTCACTACCAAGGGTGAGTACGACATTGGGGTCCTGCTAGTCTTGTAAAGGTAATTTTGACTTCGAAAGTACAAAGCACACACCATACCTAATGACACTGGTTCCAAACTGATTATGTGCGGATCGCATGACTTGGGTGTCATCCGCATACTCAATGTCAAAATGTCTTTCTTCAGCCAACACATCCACACCACCGTTACCTACATCCATCAGACCTGTTTCCAGAACGTCATCGATAGCAAAGTTGAAGAGGAATGGTGAGATTGGGTAACCCTGTCTAACCCCAGTTTTTGAATGGAAAAACGGGGAGAGGTGGTTGTATGCCCTTACTTTGCCTGAGGCGTTTGTATATAGGGTTTTTCAGATATCAATAAACTTCTCAGACATACTCTCCTTCAATAGGCAATCCCAGAGAACAGTCCTGTCCGACGAATCGAAGGCAGCCCCAATGTCAAGAAACGCTAAGATTGTTGGCCTGTGATAAGTATAACGGTGTTCTAACATTTGGCGGTGGGTGAGGATGTGATCAATACATCTTCAACCAGAACGAAATCCAGCCTGCTCCTCACAAGTCAATTTTTCTCGGGTTTTGAACAATCTATGATGTATGACGGAAGATAATAGTTTGATCGCAATCGGAAGTAAACTTATCCCCCGATAGTTGTTGCAGAAACGACGTGAACTCTTTTTAAGGGTAAGGACAACTATCGACTCATTCTATGATGTTTGAACATTCTCTAATTACCAAACATTTACAAACAGCTCAGTCAATTTCATAACTGTGCTACAATATTTGCGTTTTTCAAGATAATGCGAACATTTAGATGAAATGAGTTCCCGCACTCTGTTTCGACTGATTAGGGTTATTCGGAATAATTCATTAGGACTTTGTTATTAAATAACTGCACTACCATTATCATCTTAAAAATCGCTCATCTCTCCCATCTCCCTCCAAAAAATGCTTCCAAAGCTCAACCATCCTGATGATAACCTTTATTTATGTGTAAAACAAAAGGTATACATTCAAATTTCAGATCACAGAACTTAAATAAGCAAAGTCCGTACATTGACTTTGGTTCATACTAAAGATCGAAGTGTGAAATTGACAGCCGTTTGATTAACTCACTTCGCTTACAAAAATTATGTCATAAATACGAATTCTGTTCAAAATATCGGATATTGTCACCAACATTTATATTGTAATTGTTTGTTAGACCTAAACTCTATTATGCATAAATCTCTTTATGGTGTTAATTATTTTTAAGACTATACAAATTGAAATATATATTCTACTTTCGACCACTACTGCTTCTACTATTTGTCACAGTATAAATCACAACTCTTACCCATTTGTTGTTTTTGAAAACTCCTCTTACAGTGCTCAAGATTTATGTGATGCATTGTGTTCACGTGGTTGGCCAGTTAGTTATATATCTAGTAGTTTAGAACAAAGTGAACGTTTTCGTGCATTCAATAAATTGCGTACATTCCAGTGTCGTGTACTTATTACCACAGATTTAGTAAGTATAATTTTATACTATATTTGTTTTTTTTCTTTTGGTATCAGATAGTAAACAGTAGGTTGGTTTTAAATAATTCAGATACATAAGATCAGCACTATAAAATACATTATCATCAAGTCGAGTGAGATATAAACAAGTGAAAGAGAAAGAAAATGGCCCAAATTTAATCCAGTAGACGCCGACTTAGTAGTTTAAAGGTTGAATACTTACCATGTATCCTGAGGGTCTTGGTCCCGATCTCCTTTGAATGCTCACTGCTAAGAAGCCCCATAACAGGACGAGAAGGTTTTTTAGTCATTCTTGAATTTCACTGGTTGTCAAACTAAGGTCAGTGCATGATACAAACTAGAAAATAGAATAATCTGTCTTACAGAGTACAAATGAGTTGTTTTCTTTGCGTTCATTTTGATTAGGTTGTGTAGAAACGATAATTATTTACTACTGTAAATTGCACCAAACTATGAATCATATGAATGAGATAAAAATATCGATTTATAGGATATAGAATTTGGCTTTATATTATGAACACGAACCATATCCACTTCATGGAACACAGGTTTTCTTACTGAATAATCAACTCTTGGAACTTGTTGTCAAGAGGAGTAATGTCTACGTTTCCATTAAAGAGAAGAATAAAAGCATAGTGGTAGATGTATGTATTATTGTTTATATTTCCCTTATGCTAATGTTTGATTGCTTGATTTATTTGTAAGTGCTATGATAGTCTTCTTGATATGTCCCACTTTCTATGAATTTGCTAACACTGTTTATTGTGTGTGCCAAAATGATCTACGGCCCATGTGATATTCTAATCCGTTTCCCCAGACTACCAATCAGAAAATCAGTAAAAAATTAGACAAGTACTTTGTAATATTCTTTGTTGTTCCGACTTTAAAACTAGGCCGGTTATGCATATAAACTGCAAGATAGATCACCGTTAATAATAAATCTCAATATCTACATATTTAGAACACTTATGGTACGAAACTGAGTAGTGGGCTTTTGATTAATTGACCGTATTTTTGAACGGGAAACCATGTAACAATAATTAGAGTCAAGTGAAAGTTTACAATCGAAAGAATTCAGAAATACCATAACTCACCTTTTTGATAACTATAGTTATATATATAAATATATGCTGGATTTCCTGTGAACAACTTCCAAAGTTTCACGCTTTCACCTATTCCACTCACCTTGACAGCAAGTTGAAAAGCAAACCAACACACATACTCGACTATTTGGAGAACTTACAGCGTCTTTTATGCCAGTTAGTTCATTGTCCACGACATTATACATCCCTTTTCTATACACATGCATGCTGATTACGTCCAGACTGAATTGATTAGTTAGCGTCACCGTTATCAAACTAGGAAGTTTAATCATCTCAATTCAGAAAATATTTCAACCTTGATATTAATACTTTACTCTTAGACTTCGCGTGGGATCGATGCGGAAAATGTCAATCTCGTAATCAGTCTAGAAGTTCCCTGGGAGCATGAAACTTATGTACATCGAGTGGGACGTGCTGGTAGATTCGGTAATGATAATCTTTATTTCTGTCTTGCACTCATATATAACCATCATGATGTATGTGAATAGTCGATTTTTCATTGTTTTCTTTCTATCTTCCGAATATCTGTAATATATTTCCTGTTTTAATTAAAAGATTTATTTAGTTTAAGGAGAAAGAATATATTTGTAAAATCTCGGCAATTGAATTTGAAGTCCAACGTTTCGCCCAACAATCTGGTTCATGCTTTTTCTCTTTAGTGCCTTACATTAACTCAGAGCCTAAATACTGTGGAACTATCCGTTCAAATTTAGACGAAAGTTCTCATATATTTCTGACCTATCATTGTCGTTGTCTGTATCTTTATTTTGATTGTCTCTCCCTTTAATCTGATTCTTAGTTCGATATATTTCTCCAAAAAATCTTCTGATTGATAAATTGGATCGAATTCGATGTGCGTTGTTAATTGACCTGAGTCATAAGTTTCTAAAAATTCTCTACTGTTCTTAGTGTTTTCTCTACCCAAGATTTTAACATGTTTCCAGTCGAATGTTTGTCTACAATTGTCCACATCCATTGCTACAAGCGAAGACATATCATGGCATTTGACCGCTAGTTGATATTTGTGCAGAAGATAAAGGAGGCATCCACTTTGTCCGATGTAGTGTTTCTCGCAGTGGGAATAATATATTTTGTAGATGATGTTCAGATCTTATTTTATCATTCTATTCTGTGATTTATATAAGACTGATGAAATCAAAATTTGAAGTGAAGAAACTTGTGCCTTGTTGGTCAATACCGTAAAATGTTGATTTCTGCATTAACCGCGTCCTATTAGCTAACAGTTCCGTAGTTATTTTCAGGGAATTATTCAGACGTATGTGCTATTCATCCAATAAAATATGATAACCATTTGAATATAAATTACTCTTGTATATTTTGAGCATGTCGATGTAACAGCGAAGCAAACCTTTCTGATACATACATATATGTCTTTTTCTAAGATCAGATCATTTCATGATGTTTTCAGATTATTTCGCTCTGCTAATTAGTACCAAAATCACTTTCACAGATAATTATGACAATCCCAGCAGTATCTCTCACTAATCATATAAGTTTTCATGTTGTATGTTTATACCGGCGTTCTGATACGAAAACATACTCCTCTTACTCCTATGTAAATAGCTAACATGTAATATGTATCCGTTGCGATTTTTTAACTCTCATAAACACTTTTATAAGGAAAAGGGTACCGTTTCTTCTGTGTAATCAAGGTTATCAAATTGATTCGGCTTCAGAATACGTCTGCTAACTCGGAAGAAACGAGGAACTTAATCGTATTGCCTTACCACTTAATATTTGGATAATATACAAAATATTATGCTTATGATAAGTGCTACAATAAGAAAAAAATATAAACGTAGATGCACTTAGAATAGATTTTTATCCTCACCACCTCTCAGTTAACGTTCCTTATGAAAACGATGAACACTAGAACGGTGACTTACAGACTAACACTTAGTTGTCATTCAATTTATTTTCTGTATGTTCTACCCTTTATGTTACCAATATTAAACCTACCAACCAAGTGATTGTACTTTGCACGATCGATAACACCATGTAATTTGTCACTTCCAATCAAAATAACCGATTCAGACCAGCAATCACGTGTATCTTTATAATCCTGATGCATAACTCACGTGATTATGCACAGGTAAAATAATAGAGTTCAATTTATACATTTCAATAAGATCTTTTTGATGACAAACCGATTAACCTATTTTTAATCAGTAAAACTACACCTATTTGTCTAATATTCAACTCATCCTAAAAGTATGTAAACAGTACTTGTGCGAACCAGTAAACAAGTTTTGGTTTAACGTTTGACTATAACAAAAGTATTTATTTGATATGACATTGGAGTTTTGTAGCTCTCTCAAATAGATCATAAGCTTTTATCAGTTGCCCATTAAAACTATTTCTTAACTCACAAGTTCATGAAATTCCTAGTTTTCCTCGATAACTTCTTCAAAGTAGCAATAATTTTCAATAGTATTTATGAATGTGCATAAATTAGGATTTATTATGATAATTACCACATTGCATGCATTTAATTCTTCCGAGATAGTAGATGTAACAATACGGATTGTTTATAGATCATGATACGGAAGCTGGCCTAAATTTTTATGTGTAGAATTTAACATCTTAAGCTTGACTATTTAGAGGTGGTCTACTTGCAAACACTCATAAATCCTTTAGATATGTAAAGAAATAGATAATATAAGCAAATGAGTAACTTCTTGTTAAATGTATCATTAGGCCCATTTTTAAGGTGTACACATGGAGATTACAAAAATTATAGCTCAATATACGATTGTCAATTGACCAAAAGTAAAATTAATTAGTCTTAAGTCCTAAGATATAATTAGAATTCTCTGTCAATCAATAATTACATCGGGTTAATAAATACAGTGTTCTCAAATTAGTACTAATTAACACCACTTTCACATGAACAAATTATTCGAAATAGTATTCTTATATTTAATAGGTTATAGCTCTCCGAATAATATCTTCCATTTAGAATCCGCTTCCCATAAATTCTGACTGGTCGCGATACATGAACGTCCTGGGTTCGGTCCCTTGGGGTCATGGTTACGTATCTCCTACCTATGTAATCCGTTGACCGTTGCCTTATATTGTGAAGCAACTTAAGCTTGAAGTATGTACAATTGGATTTCCACTTGGTGACTTGAAGTTAATGTGTCGGCCAAAATACTCAAATGTTGTGGATTAGAACTTAAGCGGAGTTGTAAACTCTTACTGACAAAGAATTCTAATATTAGACAACACGAATGTCCCGTACTTTGTAGTTTCCAATGGTTCATCAGTTGATATCAATCCCCTGCTTAAAAAAATACTGTATAAATCTTCTTTTTTTGAAGTAACAAATAGTTTCCTATCCTATTCAATCCCTTAATGTTTTTGTTGATAAGCTGCCGTCTTGAATTTCTGAAAGTATTATTAACTGTACCAATAGTTCGAAATAATTTTAAGCATATTATTGATTGGTATCAAAATATCAACTTCCTTTTTTTAGGAAGCTACGGAGCTTCTGTAATTATTGTTTCAGATGTGGGTGATGAATGTGATCTATTAAAAAAGTTACAAGCTAACTGTCCAACACAAATTCGTGAATTACCGGGTAAGTTTTATCTTATTGCTTTTGTTTTCTATACTTTTCAAAATACAATATTTGTCATATTTCATCATGCTATAAAGTATCTCTAAAGCACAAAACGCTATCCGGTTTTTTTATCGAAATACTGACCAGGATAATTTTTCCCTTCTAGTCAAAGGTCATTTAAATAACTTTATACAGATTACACTGGTAGAGTAAATATATAGTATGGAAAATAGTGATAAATAAAATATTTTGTCAAAGCTAATTCATCCAAGGAAGAGATAAGGGTGTTATAGATTTCTTATAAGTAAAAAGACTTGGATTGTTAGCTCGAGTCCCTATAGCTTCTGCTGTGTCTGAGATAAGATCAAACCCCACAAGGAAAACTACTAGGGAGATGATGCGTCACTTTAAATGACTTATATCTGTCTATTACGTGACCGTTATCGATCAATTGTGATAGAGAAGAGCTATGTTTCGACGATACCCTTTCCTAACCAAAAAAAGGCGTTCACTAATTCGTTGACCCAGTTGTCTGGTTGTGCACCCATCATATCTTTCTCCACAGGAGCGGCTGAATTCGTAGGTACAAATGGATGTGACAAACCAAATAACTTACCGTTTAGTTAAAGATTCACTACAGGTCGGCCAGAAAACTATAGACAAATGTTAGCTGCATTAAAGGTCCTCTACACTGCTTTAGTCAGTCTGTCTCATACTACATCACTAGCTATATCTTCGTTGATTTGTAACTTCGGGCAGAGAGGTTTCTAACTAACCATCGATGTGATTACTTGACTGTTCATTATATCCAAGAAATGTATATATTGGCTTACCATAGAACTTTTTTCTATACATACTTATGCTGATAGAACCAACTAACTAAACGTCAAGGAAATGTTATTTGTTATCGAATTCCTCATCATCATGTAAATCTGATTGCTGAGTGTATGTTGTTAAGCTCCCTCAATTGGTTTTCTTATTTTCATATATTCATATAAATATTACTGTATATTGGAATAAAGTCTGATAAGGATCTAATTAATAACAATATCGTTCGCTTACATAGACTTATGTCATTGCTTATAAACTTATAAAGTTACAGATTATTTCGATAACATTAAACCTTCTGTTTGTTTAATTTTTAAGTTTAATATTCACAGTTCAATTTTCAAATTAAGCTTTATACAAATAAACAAAAATATTTGCATATTCCCTCTTTTTCCCTTTTAAAAAAAAACGCAAATTCTTATTACAGATCCTATACCATCAGATTTGGCAACATCGAATTGCTCAATTGAGCTGGATAATTTAGTGACAGTAACAAATCGTATGAATAATATTCAACCACGTGTAATCAGGAAGACAACTACACCAAAAATCAAAAGAACCGAAACTAATAGTAAACTACACAATCATTCAATTCAATCATCCAATGAATTATCATCATCATCATTGTTTAAACAAAATGAAGAGAATATTGGTGAGAAAAAATTTATTTCTACTAATTTAACAGACTCAAAAAAGAAACAAATGAAATCTATTGCAAACGATAATCATTATCAGTCAATGAATGATCAAGATGCTTTAATTGTACGGTTATCAAAATATATGGATATAATAGAATCTGAAGTAGGTTTCAAATTCGTACATACATATCGTTTATATAAATGAATGAATTTTACGATTATTGCACAAATCTGTTCAGTTCTTTTCAGACGAACGTCTAGATATGATTTTACCATCGAAACATTCTGACAATGTTTTATTCAATTTAATAGTGGATAATACTAGAATACAGGATTTGTGTTTATTTTATTTGAGAATTGTCGGCTAAATACACCTCATCTCAATGGAAGCACCAACAATGGGATACGTGTGCATTCAGTTGACGATTCTCAAAAAGAACAGTACACGCGTCCCGAATCCTACACTTAGCCAATATTTAAATTGACTAAAAATGTGTAATTAAATGACAATATCGAAGCAGTTCACTTAGGATATACATATTTCAATAAAAACTTGTCGAATCCAAATAATGATTGACACCAATATTTGTGATGACATAAAAACTGATTTCAAAAAATGAACTCCTTGAAGCTCTATTAGAAAATCATAAAATGTATAATTAATCAGGATGAATAAGAAGGACGCTTAGAAATAACAATGAGTAATGGCTATTTTGTAGTGAAGAATTAATTGAGTCTTAAAAGTGTTAACTGCTGAACATTAGATTCAATAGCTGAATAGTGAAGTATATATCTGTGAAACCAGAATGTTTGGGTGCGCACTTTTTAGAAATACTAAACTAGTATGAGGCAATAGTACACCACCTCTTAGTTTTCAATGATTCTTATTTCCTAGTCAAAAATATTTATACGAACATCAGCTTATTCTTTTCTGTCGCTTTTTCTTATTGATTAGATCGATTCTGTATCGCCGTTGGGTACCACTATAGCTTGGGAAAATAAATCTGCACAAAATGTGGATGAAATTGAAAAAAATCTTCTAAGTTTCTTCACCAATTATCATAAAAATGGTATGCAGATATCGAATAATTCAGAAATTTCAAAAAATGCAAACAGTGTTGATAACAAGTTTATTAACAATCCTAAAGCTAATCAGCAACTTAACCGGCATGATCACCATGAAGGCGATATTTGTTGTACAACTGCAGATGATGATAGTAATCACGACGATGCTGTGAACGATAAGAACGTCAAAACGAAAAACTCCACATCATATTTTAAGAAATATCCTTCAACAACAAATGATATTTACTGGACTTCTAGACAAATTTCAGCTTGGTATGAATATCATAAATTAGTAGACTATGCAAATTATTTTTATAATGAATGGTATTCTGCTATAAAAGAATATGATCAAGCTGTGACCCATTTAAATCAATTGCGAAGATTGCAGCATTGTACAGATTAATAAAAAGAAACAGTGTCAAATAATTCCTTCCACTGAACGTTGAGTTTTAGTCCGAGACTGTTTGCTGGTTCCTTTTGTTAGAGTCCTTTAATTAGTGAGGGAAATACTTTGTACATTATATTACATCATATATATATATATATATATATATATATATATATATATATATATGATGAGATACAATTTAATATCGAAAACAAATCAGTGTTATTTCCAGTCATTATGATAGTTGTTGTTGATTTTAACATAATTAACACAATTCTACGTGTCTAGTTTTGGAAATCTGTTTGTTCCACTGAAAAAATCCACGTCCAAAATTTTACACACAGCACAAGTCTTTCAACAATTTCAATTACATTCTACTCATTAAAAACTACAATGTTTTAACCTAAGCTGTACGACTACAAGATATAAATTGAATAAAATTTTACCACAATTTTGTTGTAAGATTTGCCATGTCAATTGAGTTTAGATTGTAACCTCGACTATTATCTAGTGAACAAGCCTGCACAACAACATGCAACCACACATATGGGAAAAGAATTTTACATTACAGACTGCTCGTTCGGTGTAGTGAGATTTTCTGCCACTTTTTACACATTCGTAAGTCCTAAAGATCTAACTACACTTTTCCTGGTAGAAGTAGTTATAATCGTAATCTATAATTAAATTCCCTGGATAACTCAAAATCAATCTTGGCGTTGTCGATATATTCGTTCTTTTTCCTTCTCTAAATCCTGAATTAAATAACTGTTAAGGAGAGCTCAAGTTATCCGTCTTTTGTTATTATAAATTGGCCGTCTCTTCAGATAGTAACCTTGATGACACTTTCCTAATTCATATTCCTGCAATGGCCCTTGCTGTTTTCTGATTAGTTTGAATCGCTTCTAGTTTGTTCTTGCCCCCTCCAAGGTCATTGCAGGTTACTACATTAACTGATTTGTCCCTTTACAATTTTTGACTCTTGTTCGGAATGTCAAGCTATTCTAAAAGCCCCGTTCTCTCTGTCAGTGTGTAGATGACTAATCCTGAAGTCTGACTTTGTGTCAGGCATCCAATGCATTCATGTCTCCTTCCTTCGTTATCAGAAATTTACCGTAGGTCAACCAGAAACCTCGGCGAGACTACAATCTATGGGCGACCTCTGAGTGACACTAAACTGACCTTCAGAGTATCCACTTAATAACTAGGACCGAATGAGTGTTATAAACCAGTGTGAGGAATAAGAATTATGATTCACAGTCGATGGTTAAAGTTAGGAATTAGATTTAGGGTTTTATTCACAAACTGACATAAGTTATAATGTTAAAACTATATTTAGCCAAATGGATGAGTGAATCTCGCTCCAAAATCTGAGACCTGTTGTCTTATACCTGATTGGTTCGTCCACAAATTATAGTCTCGCCGAAACCGCAGTAGATATAATTGCCTATTTTCGTATATTGATATTAGAGTAACATTCTATGATTCTTAACTGTTACTCATGAAGTGCATTTCTTGTTTAGTTTTCTACTGTAAATGATATTATTTCAAGTTCTTTCAATCCATATCGTTGATTTCATTTGCACTGTTCTGATGTGTAGTATGATAACTTATTTACTTAAGCATGTTATCCCCAATGTAGCATAGGCTACCGAAGAGCATCCTTCAACCCACTCTGTCCTGGAGCTTCGTTTCTAGCTCTACCCAATCTTTGTTTATTTTTCTCATGTCTGTCTCTATTTCTCGACGTAATGTGTTCTTTGGCCCTCCTTCGACCTTCACGATTTTATGTGAGGGCTTGCTTTGTGACGCGGCTGGTCGCTTTCTTCAATGTGTGTGCTCTCAACTTGCAGCGCTTCTTCCTTCACTGGAATCTAGTTTGTTCTCTCCCACAGTAGGTTGCAGCTGATAGTGTCTGGCCAACGGATCCGAAACATTTTGTGTAGACAACTGTTAATAAACACTTGTATATTCTGGATGATGGCTTTCGTAGTTCTTCAGGTTTCCGCCTCGTGCAGTAGGACTGTAGTATGATTACTTAGGTGTATATAAATGTGTACCAGGTCTTACGCTGATTTATGGCTGAGTAAATGGACTATCTGGATAACTTGATCGTCAGATCTTAGGTATCTAATAGTATATCTAAAAATACCATATAAGGTAGTCGTGACTGTTTAGAATCCCTGGAAGATATCATTTGCCTTAAATATACATTATCAATTTAATTTGATAGATTTTCAGCCTTACAAATAGCTCTCGTTATTTTTTTGAGTAACTTCGTTTGTCAAGTACACATCTGCATACAAAAAATTGAACTATAATTTAGTTCCGAGACCTAGTGATACTACTCAATTACTCAAACAAAACAGATCTAACGAGGTTCTATACTACGATTCATCAGTTGGAACTCGATTGCTTTACTCATTAACCGACTATCTTGTTACTACTAAGTGAACACAGTGTGATAATCTGTAGAAATGCTTACGTTCCAATTCAAATCAATATCAAACTCTTCTACAGTGTACCTAAATGTTAGCTTTATAGTCTTTAGTAAACGGCACAGTAGACATACGAATATTATTCATTATTCGGACGTATAGATTGAGCGCCGAGTATAGAGAAAACATAATTTGTGGAAATTATGTATGAAATAATTTCAGAGATTGGTGTCAATATCTGAATATGATTAGATCAGCATTCAGTACAGATTTAATTTGTTTGCTAAAAGTTATACAGTCTTTGACAACTTAGTTATTCTGAAGAGGTCGAGACAAGTTTGCTGAGCGAAACACTGAGGTACAGTGGATAATTATTAAACAAAATAGTGCACATCGAGTAATTCGTATGAAACATGGTATCAGAGAAAGCTTTCGACAAACAAGCCATAAGAACACAGGCATATACTGCATATCGTCAAAATAATTCTAAGGGTACATTAACTAGCTACATAATTCTACTGATCGACACCTTTAATGAACTCTTTATATTGCTTTCCCTCACATTCTTCATAGCTGTTCACTATAACATTTCACATAAGTTTTAGCTGTCATATGGAGAGAAATACGTGACTTTACTTTTTAATGATTACTTTTCGCTCATTTAATTCATTGGCGACCATGTATCTTTCACTAAACTTAGAGAAATATTTGGTAATAACTAATATATTCTGCATAATCTAAGGGTTTTCTCCAGCTTAAAAAATTCTCGTATACAAAGCAACCAAGCTGCAGTTATACGAAGCATCCATAGACTCAAAGATTCAACTTATAGAAACCTAAATGAAGACAAATGGACTGTGTTAATTTTAAAATTGCAGAGTATAACTCCAGGTCACGAACAGACAACAATGAACTCAGGTCTTCAGTGGCTAATCCAGACATTAATATATCCCAACTGTGTATATTGACACATGCTTGCAAGCTAGGTTATTCAAAACGTACAGCCTGGTACGCATTTACATCAGTCCAAGTCGCCATACTCTAACAGCACAGTGACATACAAGAACGGTAAATGTGTAAGGTCAACGTATTTCTTCAGACAAGCTGGCAGACAACCTCACTATCACAACAGTCGCATGCCAAACCAAGGTCAACGACAACAACTATTTCCGGAGGTCAATTAGTATATCTGTATCCCAGAACATCCTGGAGGGTGAACATTTAATCTATACAAAAGAATCCAAGCCTAAATGTAGTCTGACCCTTAATGGTATGCTATTTATAAAGGCAATTTCAAAGTTGTATTTAGGTTAATATGAAGGTTTTATACTACCAAAGAGACTGAGAAGATAGCAAATGAGTTTCTGTTCAGCCCCAGATTTAAGTTAGGGTTTCAGTTTATCGAAATGGTAAAACTGCACCACTAACCCTAAAAATTCCAGGGGTTGGTTCATCAGCACTGGTAACTCTCCCTAGTTTTAGACTACTTATGCCCTTTCTAGTCTCACTAAGTGTTGGATCAAGATGAAGTGAATAATAACCACATATTGGTTTCCTTGATAAGTCTGGATAGTTGCCTACTGTTATCTATCGCTGATGCCTTTTCCGTCTCCTGCTTGCGCTACATCCCACTGCTTACGATTATTGCACAGGTTTTCTATCAGCCTACCTTTAGGCTGTTTCCACTGCTCATCGCGTTCGGAACCAGGCGGGGTGAGTTTCCGAGTAATTATCAGTTCTGTAGACCCGGCTGAAATCCACTTCCCCTCCATAACCTTTTGTTTCGAGTTACTAGTAGATATCATCGGCATTTCTAAAGCTGATTGCACACACTAAATAAACGTTGTTCAAAGCCATATGCAAACAAATAGGCCATTACAGTCGATAAATTATATCAGAGACAAAATCACCAAAGTACAATATCTCCCCACTGCTCATTGCCCACAAAACATTTGCAGAATAAACTCGGAATCACGACAACGCACTTTTCAGCAATTGCAACGACTTGAGGGTTAAATACTCAGAAACAAAGAAAACCCAAGTCTGGCTAAGTGAAGTAGAATGCACCTACGTGTGACGATTCAGTCACACAAGAACTATTCATACCAAACACCAACAGACTCGGGTCTTCAATGCTTCATTGAAACGTTGATATTCCCCGACTGTGTATACGGATACACACACGCAAGCTTATAAACTAATCTCACCATCCCATCCGTAAAAGCAATAAGCATAGAACACCCAGTTTTTAGTCATTACTCCAACCAAAGACAACAATAACTAGGAACCATATCGCGCCAGATATCCTTATAAGTATTACAACATTATGTTTGTATAATGCAATCAGCAACCCACAACAAGTACCATCATCTACTTCGTCTAGGAAATATGCCAACTACAATCCCATGTCTCCGTAAAAATTCACCAAGTTGTGTGTCCCAAACATGGTGTTCGGTATGGAAAATCCTAGGCAAGCAGTAGGTAATTCCAAATCTGCAGTGTCGGCAACATCCCGTATAAATAAAAGCCAGTAGTTAGACTAACAGTTGAGGGAATAATTACGCTTTTAGTGTAACTAAGTTGTTTCATTGCTTCGTATAACTAGGAAACTATACACTTGCGACACTACGCGTTATCATTTCAATCAAGTCCCTCACTGAAATCACTCGAAAATCCAACACACTAGAAATTTCTGCTGGGTATGATCAACAACAACAACTTTGCGTACTTATTCACTTATTCGAACATACAAATATTGGTACAATGGGGCACCAGATACATATGTACTACAACTTTACATCTAATGCTCATGTCACTACTCTATGGAATAAGACCTTCAGTTCCTTGCAAACTTACGCCCTACCTTCCGTACTCTTCAATAACTTAACGAGGCAGCACCGAACATGAAACGTCGCCAATGAACATAAAAACATAGACCAAAACAGACCGGTTCATCATAACTAACCAAATCATACGAATAGCCCAATCGTTAGTGTGTTAGGTCGAATAATCAAGTCGCAAACAGACATACAAAATGTTTCTCAATGTACATCCTTCTGAATGGTCATAATTTATGTCACAAACAGGAAACTCTCATGAGAAACCAGAGTGATAATAATAGCCACCATAGCAGTATACAAGCAAAGCAAACTAGGCAAAATACCAAAGGTAGCAGAGAATACAGCTAAAGGTATACAATTTTAGAATTTAGCAGGTAGGATAAAAAATACCTTCAGTACAACTTCTGCTGACTTCAATCCGCATCAGTTTAAGGTACAAACAGTTCACATCTACCTGCCAAACGACAAACAGAGCCCAGGTCCTTCCACTGCCCTCAAAGTCCCAGAAAGTAGACCCATGGACAAATCTATTGTTTTCATGAGGCTAACCACAGACTTCCAATGTAGTGTGGAGCTGGTCAGCATAGCATGAATCTGTACATCACTAGTTATAACCGCCTCAGCCGGCAAAACATCCCACATTTCTAGTATATATTCGTACACTTAATCAGTAGATTCAACTATGTCTATAACCCCCTCTCAGTGACCTAAACCTACGTAAGTAGTGTAGTTAACATATTCACAAACAAACACTTCAAGTCAAAAACATCTGAAAAGTTATATTTCATACAGATAACACAACCCATCACCAACAAAGGCAAGCATCAGAGAGTAGACACAGCACATCTCGCTCAGATAGGATTTCCTACCAATAATGTGTCCAGCATCTGGTTGTCTCAAGTCACAAGCACTGTTTCAACAGTCCATATCATTCATCACATTGCGTTCAGCAATATAACAATTGGCATACACCTAGAAACAAAACAAATCTAAGTTAAAATGATCAGTTATTTGTAATATCTGACACTTATAGTAATATTCACACGAAAACTAATCAAAGCACCAAATATCTCGTCAAAAACACGAGTAACAGCCGTTAATAAAGCCCAAACACAATCTATTTGCTAAGATATACCTCAAACCAACAGACTAACCGGAACGAGACACCTCAAATGACTAAAGCAGACAACGCAATGTATCAGCCTTACTTATTGATGCACTATGGGTCAAACTCCACCTGTCATGAAACAATATTTTGTTATTGGTTACTGAAAAACGGCCTACACATTCTCCGTGCTCCGACTACTATATCTTCCCACTACCACCCAACAAGAAAATGTCGTACGACTACTGAAAGCCAACAGTTAGAGGACAGCTGGTAACAAGATCAACACATCGGTCGAGTGAAAACAGTTCAATATACACTGGAAAATCACCACTAACAAAGTTCGATGAAATATTCGTAGGTCTGTGGTAACGTCAAAGCGACATATACGAAAAAGCCATGGTCGAGAAACCTACATCAGGAAAACTTACTCACAGTAGACTGCTGTCCTGAAGCTGTGCACACAATTGACGCTCATGCTGCAGAAAACAATAGAAACAACAACAAAAATTGACTACGGATTTTAGGTCTGAGACTATCCACCTCCTCATTTCTAAAGTAAAGAGAGAACTAAACTACTATCCCCGTCAGACAACTTGCAACTACTGAATTATAGATATGGGGTAATATATTTGGAAGAATAACACCGCCATTATGGACCTCAGCACATCTTACAACCTAATGAGTTTTTAGTATTATGCAAACAGCTACCCACCTCTGAGACGAGACATCCCATCACCATTCATTTTAATCACGTGCAGAAAAACTCTTGGCAGCTAGGTAAGTAATCATAAACTAATAACACCTGAACATTGGATAAGAAAAGTCATATTGGTCGTCACCCGTTTGACAGTGGAGCCAGTTATGGAGTACTGTACAGCCCATGAAAATGATATTTTTGCAAACCTTAACAACCGAGAACTGACTTGATTACAACAAATTGCTGCTAATCAGGTGGGAATTTCCCATACAACCTCACTTACAAACCAGTTAAGACAGTTAGTAAGCAAAACTTAATTGAAAACCTTCCACACTAAGCTCAGTTAACGACCACTCAGACAACATCCTAAGAAAAAGTCGGTTCAGTGAACAGAAAATGGTCACATTTTGTTTACGACCAATCAGGGGTGACCTTTAAGTGGCAAGGTCAGTGTTTCATTAAGGCCTAATGAAGTCAACCAATGAACAGTTAACGAGTTATTTGTGAATACATTAGTCTAGATGCTGTCAGTTTTATAATAAATACGCTCGTGCACGCGAAAGTTGGTGTGCACGTTTCTCGGCTCTTACTGATAATGAGTGGACGTGGTAAAGGTGGAAAGTCTCGTGCTAAGGCGAAAACGCGATCAGCCCGTGCTGGCTTGCAGTTCCCAGTTGGTCGTGTCCATCGTCTCCTTCGCAAGGGTAACTACGCAGAACGTGTCGGGGCTGGTGCACCTGTCTATTTGGCAGCTGTCCTCGAGTACCTGGCGGCCGAAGTCCTTGAGTTGGCTGGCAATGCCGCTCGTGACAACAAGAAGACTCGTATTATCCCTCGCCACTTACAACTGGCCATCCGCAATGACGAAGAGTTGAACAAGCTCCTCGGTGGCGTAACCATCGCTCAGGGTGGTGTCCTGCCTAACATCCAAGCAGTGTTGCTGCCCAAGAAGACCGACAAGGTGAAGCCCTAAGTGCTTCGACCATGTGACTGAAGAGCTAGAGAACGTGAAACCGGCCCTCTTCAGGGCCACCACAATTTGATTCGACTTGCTTTTTACTTGCCTAGAGTTGGGTTGTCATTTACTCTGTGCGTGACGTGTAGGTACCTATTTGGAGAGAAGTGGGGGACTCGGTGTGAACTAATCTACCCTAGGTTGTAATCGATGTGTATTGACAGCCACTGACTGACTAGCTACGGCCCTAAGTCCGTACATTAATGGGCGTGGGCGGATCTCGAAACTAGTCATTGAGGGAGTAAACTTGCCCAACGGACAATTCTCGTGGCGGGTTAGTTCCTAGTGCATAGATCGGGTCTAATCTTAGTCAATGTGATATCGGAAGACGGGACTGTGTTACCCAGAGACCTGTATTTAATGTCGGCAACAAAAGCATAGGATTGGTAGTTGTCCAATTGATTCAGCTGACAGTCGTCTGCTGTCCGTTATTCCTATGTTTGTATTCCAACATGCTAGTTCATACAAACTCCACCCGGGGCGAGGCGGTTCATCATGTCGCCTGGACGTGTCTTATTCCCATGGAGCTCTTGCCTCCGAAACTGAGTCAGCACTTTTTTACATTTGATATAGTAGGTGAATGAGAGGTCAGTTATAGGAGAGTATTCGGTGAATTACATTACAGAAATAAGCCGTAGGAGATGACAAGAAATCCCATCAAGCGTAGTCGCAATAGCGTCTGTATCGTCGTATGTTGCCGCCGCTCACATCCGGGTTCATGCACCTATATCAACCTGTCTCGGGATTTGTTAGTTGCCTTCACAGAAACCGATATACCACCAGCAAGCAAGATTTTTAACGCAAATAAACGTTCCTTTATCATCCAGACAGTTCTCCATGTGGGTGCTTCTGATTATTATTTTTCAATAATTAAGTTTTCCCACAAATTGAATATCAATACTATTCTATAGATATTTGCTGAATATTTAAAATCGGTTAGAAGAAACATAGAAGTAGAACCCCTAGAAATAATTGAGAACAACCAACTACCAGAAACTATCGACAAACATCCCGTGTATCACAGCGTTACATCCAGACGTTATTTCTCAAAATCTAATTATATGCATCAGAGCTTATTATTCTGGGTTTTGCATGTTACTAATTAGGAAAACATTTAGTTTACCAATCATTAGTTTCCCATTCTCAACTCTCGCTTCGATATTATTGTTTTCTCGACAAGCAAATAAGACTCAACAACACTGTTCTGTTGTATTTATCATCCAAATCGCGCGTTCACATCGACATGTTTGCATAAAACTATTAACTTTTTATTGGAAAGTAGTATGTAAGTAGTATAGGTCATCATTTACTTGGTTGGAAATAGTTGTGAAGATTCACTAGAATACCCAGAGGAATGAATTAGCTATGCTGGGAAAATATCCGACAATATTAGTATATACAAATACATACATTAATAAATCACAGTATGAAAATTAGTCATTTTATTTCACTCATACTTCAAATTACTTTTGATTACAGAAGCATTTCGTCCATGACTTGCAACTTCAGATAGAGCATTAGAAACTAAAAAAGTAGTCATCACACGTCTTATCTCAAATGGAGTTCGTTTATATTTAATCACTTTAACACTAATTGTGTTTGGAGTAAAATATGGAAACTCACTTTTCCTAAATGTCCATACTACTAAATTACAATATATCTAACAAAGTGATAAATTTAGAGGAACAACCGATTATTTTTCGTTCACTGTGAAACAATAACCACAGGATAAATGATCTTGCGATGTAACCTGTTACATAAGTACTGTCTAGGTTGATGATCGAGTCATTATATTATGGCTAAAATATTATGACTACCAAAATGAGGCCATAGTGTGTGCGTTGTGGCACTACATTCGCCAAAATAAATGATTTAATCGGTGCTCAAAGCGGTAACTCAATAAATATTTCTGTAATCAACTACATTCTCCAGGTCGTATAAATTTCCGTTTAATCAGCATTGGTCGTAATTCTCACGAAAATAACGGTGGTAATTTGACTAATTCGAAAGTGGTGTGTTGTAAGCTTGGTGAATGTTTTACGTGTGGTAAATTGCACTCACGCTAATCATGCCCTCTTCGAAGCGCCAAATGTGACAAGATTGATCTTATTCAGACTACGTATCGCTTTACTGTTCATTTCACTGAGTCTTATAATAACAGTAAGCCTCTTAATACGAATCTCATTAATATTGTTGAAAATGATGGAGGACAAATACTTCTCTACTCATGTTATATCCGCATCGCTGATTACCTATACTCGAAACCGAGGTATCCCTCCAATTCGCGCGACGCGAAGTAAGAACATCAAGACTACCTGGTTGGGAAACGCGAGATGATAGCAACCGATGGTTAGAGACCTTGAATGACATGGCTCAAAATAGTTTGCAATTGAGAAGGTGCATTCACTCTTTGTGTTCTGTCAAATTCTAATCTTCTGAATTCTTCATGCTACTAACTTTTTTCTCTTTCCAAATTTATTTCATTGGATTATACTCCTTAAATAACATCTTCAAATCCTAATCTTTCACATAATGCTTATACAATTACTACTTCCACCACTAGGAGATTTGAATCGACAACTGCATCTCTGTGCTAATGTATTATGGCAACTGGAACTGATGTACGTACGTACGAAGTTATACGTTGTGACTGACTGATTGACACCAATACTGGTACAAGTGAAGATTTTTCAACCCCACAATACGACGATCCCTCTAGTCAAAAGTGATCCCATTTATATATTGGTTCATAAACACACCTGATTATTAATTAGTCAAAGGTCACATGAGATTATAGCAATATCGTTTCTTGTCATGCTGAACATAATTCACGTTAATTTAATACAAGAATATCATATTTTTAGCAAACATCATACTGAAGTATGTCATTGTTTTACCGAATAAAATAGCACACTGAAGTTAAAATAAATATTACATTGAATAAAAGTCATTTAGAATTGAAAATGGTAGTAATCTTGAACAACAATCATATTGAGTTAACATGTAATTTTTGTTTCTCATTCCGTCTTATCAATTTACAGTACCTGAAAATTAATTTGACACTTATATTCGATTACGTGGGTGTAATAATTCGGAGCATTCAGATTATTATACGAACTAGGAATCGCAGAAATAATGCACTTTAAGTGAGGTAGAACTAGGTGGGCACAAACGAACGTATTGTATTTGTGGATTAAACATCTAGGTCAATGATTAGTGAATGAAATATAGGAGGACAGACGACATGTGTATTTCGATGACAAAATAATCCTCAAAAGCATGAAGATTTGAATATATGTTCAACTGTTTCGTCACAGGTACCATCGCGACTCCAATATGATTATTTATTTATTTAAACACATAAACATTGGTAGAAGAAGGCACGAAACATATTTGCGTCACATAACTTGTAGTGACTTATTTTTACAATGATTCGATTCGTCTGAGGGTTGGAATATTGCCCGGGTGCCCAAACCGTAGGAGGTGGATTTGTTAGAGAGCCAATCCACTAATCATTGACCTAGAGGTTTATTGGCGATAGCATTCGATCAGTACTAAGGACTTGACACGCATGAGATTAATCACCAACCAGTGATCAAGCAATTGTGATTAGATCTCAGTCCTACAGGAGGTCGGTCGCGGCCCGAATAGCTCAGTGGTAACGTCTCTGACAGTGAAGCTCAATGACACGGGATCGAATCCACCAGGGAGCATCAGTTCCCTCGAGATTACAAGTACATCTAGCTGACGAGTGCCAAGTAGCACGAAACCCGGGTCCAGGTTTTACTGTTGACCATCTCCAACCACCATGTTACCTTAATTCACCAAGCTTACAACACACCACTTTCGAATTAGTCAAATTACCACCGTTATTTTCGTGAGAATTACGACCAATGCTGATTAAACGGAAATTTATACGACCTGGAGAATGTAGTTGATTACAGAAATATTTATTGAGTTACCGCTTTGAGCACCGATTAAATCATTTATTTTGGCGAATGTAGTGCCACAACGCACACACTATGGCCTCATTTTGGTAGTCATAATATTTTAGCCATAATATAATGACTCGACCATCAACCTAGACAGTACTTATGTAACAGGTTACATCGCAAGATCATTTATCCTGTGGTTATTGTTTCACAGTGAACGAAAAATAATCGGTTGTTCCTCTAAATTTATCACTTTGTTAGATATATTGTAATTTAGTAGTATGGACATTTAGGAAAAGTGAGTTTCCATATTTTACTCCAAACACAATTAGTGTTAAAGTGATTAAATATAAACGAACTCCATTTGAGATAAGACGTGTGATGACTACTTTTTTAGTTTCTAATGCTCTATCTGAAGTTGCAAGTCATGGA